AACGCAAGGGGGTGGTGGGAGGGGGGAACGCGCCTTTTTCTTTGCACGATCTAGGGGTCGGTGGATGGATGGCCGCGGATACAATGTGCTGACAAGAAAAAACTTTTTTTGTGTAATTCCAAACCTTTGTTCTCGGCAGGAACGGGACGCGCCGCACTTTCCAGGAAAACGGGTTGGTGGTCATGTTTGAAAGGGAGTGTACAGTAGCAGAGGGAGATGTGGTAGAGGAGCATTGGTCGTTGATCATCTTCAGGATCGGCTTGGCTGCACTTCGGTTGGAGATGAGCGAGGCAGTGTACTGTATGAGCACCAGACTAGACTAGAGACTGTACTGTAGAGTACTGTGAAGTTTGTTGGCCTTGCGACTGTCTGGATAGGTGAGCCATTGGCCGATGGCAAGAATGCCCACACGCGTGACCAAAGGCCAACCTTCAAAACCAGACAAATCAAGGCAAGCAAAGCATTCCAGACTTTAGCCGAGCTGCGCTGCGATGCTTCGATGATGCATCGGTGTGGGTGTGAGCAGTCAACTGAGGCCTGGCCGGCGCGCGGGTGCCTGGGGCGTAATTCTCGGCTGGATACGAAAAAACATGGCGCCTGCGGCGTTGAGATGAGCAGGCGGCCCGATTCGCTAACCGTGAGCTGCGCTATGGCCCAAGGCGGCGGTCATGTGCCGAGCTGCGAACATGACGGAAGTGGGAGGCCGCGGGGGAGCTAGAGTAGCATCGACGGCCACGACCATGGACAAGGACATACATGGCGGCAGAGTAGCTATGGCATGTATGTACTTGTCCAGTCTGTACATGATGTACGCTACCGTGCCTATCGTGTTTACCTACTGCCTACTCTAGTACTAGGCCAAGCTCTTTCTGCAGTCGCATGTACGATACGTACGGTCGGGTTAGAGGGTGTGCACAGTAGAGCAGATCGGGGGAGTCGGGAGGCAAAGATGCAGAGCCCAGCGGCTCAAGTCGGTATATTGAGGCAGGACATGGCCATCCAGATGGGGGTATACGGCCGAAGGAGCAGCCAGCCGCAAGAGCGTCGAGGGGTGCGCTGGAGGGTTGCGGCGTGGATCTTGATTAATGAAAATTGGAGGAGGCCCAAGCGTGCAAATTTACCATCACCATGCCCATCATACACCACACACCACACACCACAAACCCCACCCCTCTCAAAATTCAAAAAAAAAGTAGTTCAATTGGTACTATCATACCCAAAACTTTTCTCTCTGCATCTACGATACGAGAAAAACGACAAAACGACCCCACTGACGCCAGAAGATCCCATGCATATGCAAGATGAATAGGAGTACAAAAAGACCTCGCGTCTTGAGATGCTTACATAGTCGTGGGAGAAAAACGAGGCAGGCTCGTTTGGAAGCTATGATTGCCCCTGCTTCTGATGGTGGGGGTTTTTGGTGTCGTGGTCGCGTCGGCGTCATCGTCGGCGTCTTCACAGTATATGTGAAGGGGATCCGGTCTAAGATCCAGATCTGCAAAACAAAAACAAATGAAACTACCTCATCTCTCCCCCGCCGCCCTACAATTCCAACGCCTTCTTCGCCATGGCCAGCGCGCCCTCGAAGCTTTTATTACCGCCGATGAAGCCAGCAGCGTGAACGAAGACGCAGCCCGGAATCCCAGAAACCTGATCCAACTGCTCGTCGCGCACGCCCTTCCACGCATCCGGCAAGTCCTTGCGATTCTCGAAGCCGCTGTTCTCCTTGCTGACGGCGCGGATGCGCCACTTGCCTTCTGGCTGGTCTTCGGGGAACAGGACGTAGAGGACGTGTGGGGAGACGCCTGGTGGGAGCTGAGATTCCTTTTCTAGCGTGTAGAGGTGGTCGGCCCAGGGCATGCCTTCTGGAAGAACGAGGATGCGGCCCTGGGGATCGTACTGGAGACGGGCGTCGTAGGCTTGCTTGACCTGGTGGCGGGCGGGGAGCCAGCTGCTGGCGCGGTCAGTCAGCTCGATGAGGAACTGCTCGCCGACGAATTGGGAAGCTTTGAGGAAGCGCATGTCTTCTTCTGCTTGCTTGGCCTCCGCCGTTTTGGCCTCGTCTGAGGTTGCAGAGCGAGGCCCGTAGTTGTAGCGATTGACGACGCTGGCGATGCTGAACCCGCGATTCTCGAATTTCTTGGTCAGCCCCGCACTTTCGAGGTCCTTGGGCTCAAAGACATTGACGCCATTGTCATTGGCGTCGAATGCTTCGATGAAGTCGGCGTAGATTTTCTCGTAGAGGATATCGCGGTCCTCGCCTTGCAGTCCGGTTACGGTGGTGATGATATCTTTGCCAAAATGCATGTATACGAGACCGGCAGACGAGAGCTTGGTGTTGTGACCGGGAAACACCGTCTCAAAGCCACGCTGGTGGTGGTCGTAGCGCTTGGTGCTGTCGTCGTATTCCCCGCCCACGTCGACAACGGTGTGGCATGTGGAAAGGACGGCGGGGTCACGGGTGCGGATTAGGGAAGAGTCGAGGTAGGTAGGTAGCAGGCGGAGCATGGCTACTGCAAGACTCTCGTCGGCGTGGAAGTGGCCACTGTATCCATGTTAGTTGGTGACGATGCGATGTAGAGTATGAAAAGGCCATACTTGTGCGTTCCAATGACAGGCGCATCCGTCTTGAGCTTTTTAGCGGGGTTCTCAGTGGCCATTGTGAGGAAGGTGTTGTGGATGTTGATGGCGAGAAATGTTCTCGGAGGAGTTAGTTTGTTGAAATGCCTTGCTTGATGGGAAAGAAGTCGAAATCCGAACATCTGATGCGCAATGTTCAATGCTGGATTGGCCGAGAAAGATTCAGCAAAGCAGCAATGCAATGCCTACCTACTTAGTGTGGTGGTGTAGCCTTGGCGCCATACTCATGCGCTCGGGTAGTTTGAGTATCATGTGATTTGCCACTGCTACATCCTGGCTATTTTCACAGCACAAGACAAGTAACGTGATCCTCAACCTAGCCGACACAACTAGTACCGGTAGTGGACATGCTGTGCCACAAGACGAGACAGACATCCAAGCTGACAGCTAACACGATGCAAGAGGCAAGAGGTAAGATGCTAGATGCAAGCGTGCCGCGGAGGCCCATGGGGAGGCCTATGTATGAGCAAAAGTTCCCAGACGTACGAGCACAGGTATGAGCATGAACTGGGTACACCGACGTACACAGCTGTCTCTACCGCCCGTCACCGAAGCATCATCATTGTGTTGTGTGAGGTCGAAATCATCCTGGCAGCCCACACGCGACAGCGCGACAAGAGTCACCACCACCACCAAGAGCTTCCCGTGATGTCTGATGGTGCACTCCACGCCCACCACCCCTTCTGCACCTTCTTTGCCCATTGCCTGAAGACGGCTGCTCCTCGCTCGCCCCCTCTGCCAAACTGCCCGATATCCCTCCGCCGGCGAGCTGCACCAGTCGAGGCCTTGATCCAAGCGTCGCGCCGTTTGACACGTGAAAAGGATAGGTTCACTTAGGCCAAGGGCCACGATCAGAAAGCGAAGAGACGGCCCGCCCGCCTTCCAAACCCACCACGTCTCCCAAACCGCGACCTGCGCCTCGCAGAGTTCTCCCCCTCCCCCTCCACACCCCCTATAATCCATACTCTTTTTTAAAAAAATATCAAACAAATTCAAAAAATCTTATTCTCTATATACTTATATACTCTACAAATCCACTTAACACTTATTATTCAAAAATCACCTTAATTCTATAGTATCATATTTACATTATTATTTTAACAAAATTAATATATATCTCTCGA